ACCCGCACCGTGAAGCCGTCGACCTGCTCCTGGAGGCGCCGATTCTGGCCAGAATCCGTTTAGAGGCAACGTCGTCCACCATTTTAGGGAGATTCCGAACACCCTCAGCGAGCTTCGTCGCGCTCTCGCCGTGGGACTCGAGCTGCTCCGCGAACGGACTGGCGGCCTAAACGACCGCGGACTTGATTGTGTCGACCACGGTCTGCTTGTAGTCCTTGAGGACCTTGGCGTATTCCTTCTTCGCCAGGAAGCGGAAGTGTTCCGTCTGGCCGTCGTCGTCGTCCTCATTCCACATCTCCATGCCATTCGCCTCGGCACCAGGATCACGATGACCAGGAACAGGAACGGGAGCAGCAAAGGGTAAACCATCGCCAGGGCCATCGCCAGTATCAGGAGGAAGAGCGTATCCAGCTTCATCACGAATATTTGTTCGCGCCTCGGGCCAGACTTGTTGCCGGGGCCAAACCTCTTGACATCGGGGATGGTGTTGGGCGATGCAGGGATGAGAAATGCCTCCGCACACCCACACCGCTCAGCGCGAGAGACCCCCGCGGGCTCATGACGGGTGGGCAGCTCACCGCGAGGCCCGACGATGTGGAAGCGCTGGAGGACTGGCCGCGGACTAGCGGTACCCACTTGTTCCTCTGGAAAACACATGATCTTAGGCCAACATGCTTGCGGGGAGGACGGGGAGGAGGAGGAGGAGGAGGAGGAGGAGGAGAAGGAGGAGGAGAAGGAGGAGGAGGAGGAGGAGGACGACGAAGACGACGAGGAGAAGGAGGAAAAGGAGAAGGAAGAGGAGGAGGCGGAGGAGGAGGGAGAAGGAAGATAGAGCAGGAGGAGGAGGAGGAGTAGGAGGAGGACGAGGAGGAGGCGGAGGAGGAGAAGAATAGAGGAAGACATGGGGACGGAGGACGGAACAGGAGGAGGAGGAGGAGGAGGAGGAGGAAGAGGAGGAGGAGAAGGGATTGGAGCTTGAAGGCCCTGGCGACGTGGCACCGGCGCGCCGAGGCCGCCTTCTGCGTGGCCGCGGCCTTCGGCGCTGCTGAGGTCAGCCGGCTGGGCGAGCGCGGCAAGGGGTCCGACCCCACGCTGCGGACCGCGACGGGCCCTCCGGCCCATCGCCCCCCAGACTCGCATCGCCCAAGGCGCTTGCACCGGATGCATCGGCGTGTGGAGGCGGCCGCGCGCCGGGCTGGCGCCATCGGCTCTCTCCCGGCTCGGCTCCGGCGGCAATGCGCCCAGGCGGCCGGTGACGGTGTCCTCCCTGCCGGGCCCCCTCCTCCTTCCCTCGGCGCTGCGGCGGCGGCCCTCGCAATAACCGCGGCCACTGAGGAAGCCTCGGGGGAGTCCAACCTCGCGGTGGCGAAGTGGCGGCGGCGCTTTGCCGCCTGGGGGCCCGACACCGCCGCCCTGGCGGCGCGGCGGATGCGCCCCTCGCGAACGGCCACGACTTCCTTGGCCACCGACATGCGTACTGAGTGGGCGCGGTGGTGGACTCCCTCCCCCGAGCCCCTTGAGCCCAAGGACGACCCGCCCGCCGGTCCGCCTATCCACCCGCCTGCCGGCCATGCCGCTGGCGGCCCGCCGGCCGACCCGCCCGGTGACCCGCCTGCTGGCCCCGCCCGCGACCGGCCGGCTGACGATCCGCCCGACGACCCGCCAGCTGGTCTGGACTGGACGGGCGCTGCCCGCGGCTGGGGGGTCCCCGCTGCTTCCCCTCTCTGCTCTTGGGCCCCCCCCCCTCCTTGGAGGCCTTCAGCGACGCCCTCAACGCCGCCGAGGGCGGCGCCGGCTGGGACGGCTGGGAGAGCGCCGAGCTCCAGGGTGTGGGGAAGCACGTGCCCTGGTTTGTTTCCGAACTCCATGGGATTCTCTGTGAGGCCATCCTGTGCGAGGACGACGCGCGGCCCTCGGAACGCCTCGCCGCTTTCGCTGCGGTGAACGTGGCCGGGGTGCCGGAACGAGGCTCGGACGACGCCCGGCCCGTGGCTGTGGCCCCAGTGTGGCTAAGATCGTGGCACACAGCTCTCCTCCCCAGCCTCCCCCCCCCGCTCCCCCCGAGGCGTTCGGCGAACGGGGCCCCACCCTGTCCACCGCGGATTGGGCGGCCGCCCCGCGGTGGTGCGGGGCGGAGATAGACCCCACGAAGGCTTACGACTCTGTCGCACTCGGTCGCCGCCGAGGCGCTGCTTCACTTAGGCACCCCGCCTCAGGCTGTCCCGTGGCCCAGGCGCACGTGGGCCGCGGCCCACGTCTGCTGCGTCGCCGGGGCCACGGCTCCGGCCCTCCGCCCCGCGGCCGGCATCCCCGCCAGATGCCCCTGCTCTGGGCAGGTCCCGGTGGCCGCTCTGCTTCCCTGGCACTCTGCTACGCGAACGCTCACTCGGGTCCGCTCCTCCTGGCCCTGCGTCGACGACCGGAGCCTGAAGAGCACCGACACGGAGGCCCGCGCCGAGGCCCTGGAGGTCACGCGACCACCCTCGACAGCCGCTCGGAG